GCAAGAGGGAAACTTTGCTTCTCGCCACCTACCTCAGGGAAGTGGGAGTTACAATGCAAGGGGGAGATAGCTCCTAGCAACTGTCCACATTAACCTGGTTCTTTAGGTCCAGGCTTGGGAACAATAAGAGAAATCAGACTGAAGTCAAGAACAGATATGAGGGAAGTAGAAAACAAACACAGGTGCAGTGCTTTTTCGTGCTGTAGATTCCTGGCAGCAAAGCCTCTGTTAGCCGACGCAGAGGCTGAGTATTCTGAGGGAAATCGGCCGTGTCCAAGGGCAGTTGTCTTCATGCCCTGGGAAGCACCAAGGGCATTTTCTTCCTTTCTGGCAGGAGGCAGAAAAATAGCCAGAGCAGAACAAGCAATGCTCTTCCCAAGTTAAAGCGGATAAATGGCCGGTGTAGGACCCTGGAATTGCCTTGTCCAGAGAGTGACCGTGCATCCCAGCTTGCCCAGGACAGCCACGCTTCTGCTCATTGTCAGTGTGATTGCAAAACACACTCCTCCTCCTAGAGAATGTCCTGATTTTGACAGTAAATTGACTACATGGTCACCTTGCTTATAACTTGGTTTCAACTTACTGTACACAATAAATATCCCAGTCTTTAAGTTAGTCTGCACAGAAATCCATTTTGTCAGAAAGAAGCCTATACTACTGATGAAATTTATACACACACAGACACACACACACACTTGGTATTCTTAGAATAATTTTGCATAGTTTAGGGAATTTGTATTCCATGGAAAAATGTCCATCAGTCACAAGAAGAAAGTGCAGATATGCAAGCTTTGGGTGGATTTAATAATGATATATAATAGCAATTTAATAATGATGTTTAATAGCAATCTCTGTCCTGGGCAGAAGACTATGGGAAGCAGAGCCTGGAAACCTTTCAAGTATAAAAAAGTCACAAATCGGACCATTTGCTTGAAAAATGGGAACATTGGCCTCTCTTCTGCCCCTTCCCATCTTCTCTGGCCTCCTGCCAACACTTAGAAGATTTATCCTAGGATCCCTTTCCTAGGATACTGTATTCAATGTCCTCCCTCAGGCAAGGTTAACTAGAAAAGAAAATCTGGCCAAGGAAACTGGGTTCCTTGGTTAGTTATTGAGCTCAGCATGGCAGGGGTCAGCGCTCTGTCACCAACATGGCATTTCATTTTGGTTACACTCCTTTTTATCTTTGAAGGCCACTCATAAGGATTTGGGCGCTCCTGTTTTCTTGTGAATGTGAAAACCAGCTTTCCCCAGTCTGACAAGGAAGAATAGAAGCAAAAACAAAGGCGTGGGACAAGAGTGCCACCTAGCGGCCAAAGCGTGCTTTCACTCATTTGTCTCAAAGTTAGCATGGGGCAGACTCCTGGAATGGGTCCAGTGCTCCTGAGGGATTTTTATTTTTTATTTTATTTTTATTTTTATTTATTCATTTATTATTTTTTACTTAATGTTCACAACATGCCAGTGCTTTGAAATCAGGAATTTAAAAAAATGCTCTCTGTCCTCAAAGAGCCCAGAGTCTGGTGGAGGGACACTGGCGTGTAAAAGATTGCGAGTGGAACGGAGTAACTGCTGGGGTAGAGGTAAGGTGGGTATTTTGAAAACAAAGGACACTTTCTGGTGGAGTTGGGGAATGGGTTAAGAGGTGCCGAGACTTAGATTACGTGGGAATTAATTGATTCCATGCTTGGCTTGCTGCACAAGTTGAGAAACTGCAAGGGCTGAGTTTGGCGCAAATCCTCTTGCTCACACTTTGTTGTGCATGATGTGCCTGTCCCTTATGGTGGTCACTGGCCACATATATTAGGTTCTTAAAATATAACCAACCCGAATTGAGATGTGCTGCAAATGTAAGTTGCACTCCAGATATCAAAGATTTAGAATCTAAAGAGAGTAAAAAAATTATTAACAATTTTTATATTGATTACATGTTGGAATTATTTTGGATGCACTTGGACCAAAGTATATTACTAAAATTAATTTCACCTGTTTCATTTTATTTTGTTGGTAAGTTGGCTCTAGAAATCTCAAAATTGTTTGAACTGGGCAGTGCTGGTCTACGGCTCCAGTGGGAATCATGGTTGAGTTGTTTTTTAATTGATTTTTTTTTTTACCAAGTAAGGGAGAGGGATAAAGAGTTAGAAACATCAATGAGAGAGAAACATTGATCAGCTGCCTCCTGCACACCCTGAACTGGGGCTGTGACTACAGCCAAGATCCATCCCTTGACTGGAATCAAACCTGGGACCCTTCAGTCCACAGGTCAACGCTCTATCTACTGAGCAAGCCAGTTAGGGCTCATGGTTGAGTTTTTATGAGATTCCTTTAGAACTGGATGCCTGGCTCTGGCTATGAGCAAGGGTTCTAGAGTCAGCCTTGCTCTACCACTCAGCAATGGGTGAGCTTGAGCAAGTTTATTTAAACTCTTTTACGTCAATTTTCTCATTTATAAAACGGGACAGTAATACCTATGTGTTGTGAATAAAATGCAGTAATAATTATAAAATTAAAGCCTTTTGCTCTACACTTAACACATATAAACTCTTAAAAATATCAAACAGCTTTATTAGTTATTTATAAACTAGAGGCCCAGTGCATGAATTTGTGCAATGGTGGGATCCTGCTGACCCAGTCCCAATCAGTGCAGATTGTGGGGAGGGGCTGCAGGTGATTGGCTGGCAGGGAGTGGGCTGTGGGTGGTAGGCCAACTGGCCCCACCCCCAATCAGGGTGGTGGGGGCTGATTGGAGGAGGGGCCACAGGAGATTGGCCACTGGCTCTGCCCCTGATTGGAGTGGGGGTGATGATCTGGGGTGGAGCCCGTCAGGGGAGAGGCTGCAGGAGGTTGGCTGGCCCAGCCCCACTCCCTTTTGGGGTAGGAGGGAGTGATCATGGGTGGGGTCAGCCAGGGGGACGGGCTGCAGGAGGTTGGCTGGCCAGCCCCACCCCTCTATGGGGTGGAGAGTTTGATCAGGGGCAGGGCTGGCTGGAGGGAGGGGCTGTGGGTTGATAGGGGTACTGTACTTTCCTGTTTTGTAAGTTCGATTCTCTGTGTTAGGGGCTTTCTCCTCATGTGCCTGGTGTTCCTTGCTTGTCCACTGATTTTTAAGAATGAGACCCTGAATGCTGACTGGAGTGGGTGTGTGTGGGTGGGAGTGGCTTGTTGACTGAGAAGGATGGAACCTGTCCTGTGGAGGCGCTTGTATCAGTATCTGTAGCTCAGAGGCTGTTTTCCCTCCACTCTGCCTCCTGGGTATATGCCAGGCATTCCTGAGTCCCCGGGCTGATGAGAGATCCTTCCCACTGTATCTTACCGTGTCAGTATGCTGCTTTGCTCCCAGTTCGAGGTCATTTGAGTTGATTTCATGGGTGTTAGGACTATTTTTTTAATCATTGCATGTTCTAATATCCTCACAATAAATACATATTGCTTTTGTATTAAAATTTTAAATACACCAAAAAATGTCAGCTACAAAAAAATTATTTTCAGCTCTCTAAGCGAAATAAGTGAAAGTTGCTTTAGTGGACAGGAAGGAGACTTTGAACTTGGTATCCACTGGCTGTCAGCCACAGGTCATTAGGACAGGTGGCAAATCCACAGAATCTTCAAATTCCACTTTCCTTAGGAATATTTTTCTAGCTATACTTGACTATGTCCTAATCAGATATTTTATTAACTTGTGTATCAAAACTAATAGTTATGTCACGAAGGGCTGCCTTATCTTAGGCAGGTCTCGTCTTCCTCCCTTTTTTCTAATTCGAGGAACATGTCACCTCAGCAGAACTCTTCTTTCTGCACACACCCAAACTAAACATGCTCAACTTTCATCTTTAACATGACATGTATTGGCTATGTATTTATTTAAAATGTTCTTGTTGATTTGTGAGAGAGAGGGAGGGATAGAAACATCAGTGATGAGAATCATTGATCAGCTGCCTCCTGCACGCCCCCTACTGGAGATTGAGTCCAAAACCCAGGCATGTGCCCTGATAGGGAACAGCACTGTGACCGCAACCACTGAGCAACACTGGCTGGGCATGTTTTGGCTTTTAAAAAGGCCTATCCCATACTGCATTGTAAGGATGTATGAAGTGTCTTTTAACATTGATATGAAAGCAACTGTGGCTGCAGATATTGATTTCTGAAAACACGTTATTACTGACTCTAGCTGTATTTGAATCACAAAAAGAAACCAATCTGGTAGGCCTGCCAGACACGAACTCTGAAATTTTACTAGTATTGTTATTAGGGAGGTAACCTAGTTTACTTGATGGTTAGCTCTCTCCCAAGCTTAGTTCTGGAAAAGGAGTTAGCCTGCATTTATATGATCCTCTACTGTTCTTTTAAGAATGAAGATGACTGTTTGATCTTATTGAAGTCTTCCAGTGCTAAGAGATTCATTCTTTCTCATTTAATGGATGAAGTCAGAGTGCAGAGAGCTCTAGCCTGCATATAAAAAACAGTGATGAAATGAGGCAGTGATTCTTAAACCTTTGCTGGCTACCCTGGGACTGCTTATTATTCTGATGTTTAAAAGAGGCCATCCAAATCCATTTTCTTGAAAGAAACATTTATTTATAATCGCTATTGGTCAAACTGTTTCAAACAAATCCAGAACAGGTTTTCACTTGTTGAGCCTTTAGTGTAAAGACAGTATGCCATGCGTGAAAGAAACGCTTGTCCAGTAAAGCTCCCTCCTGGCCACTTGACTGGGATCAGGCAGCAACTAATGTGACAGAAATCTGCTTGAAGAGGGGCATGATTTAAAGCTCATAGTAAGATTTTTCACAACAAAAATGTGTTTAAACAACATCTAATATCAACTTCTTAATTTTAAAACAAAACACCCTAGAATCAACTATCCCTTTAAATTAAAAAATAATAATCAATTTATACTCTCTTAAAAGAACTCCAACAATGTAAAATAAGTTCCAATTCCAGATATATATATATATAATATGTACATTTATAACTTAGGTGCTCTTTTGCACTATATGCTTTCATTCATGCAACACTGACAGAGGACTGGGTGCGAGGCTCTCCAGAGGTCTCTCGGAGAAAGCAGTGTAGCTCCTCACTCGGCCAAAGAACAAGGGGGTGTACATCTTGTCAATCTCAAAAGCAGTGACTGCAGTCTCACCGGTTGACCTGGAAATACACAAAATTACAAGTTACCAGATAATTTCAACTCCTTTAAAATCTTTGCATATTTCTAGAGGGGGGTTATTTTATATTTTAACCTTAAAAATTTTAAATATATCTCAGTAAGTTTTAAATAAAGGCTCATTGTTGAAAATTTTAAATATTTAGCAAAGTACCAAAAAGAAGTCACTCATAATTCTATCACTCAGACACAGCAATACAAAACATCAAGTTTTCCTATTGAGATCACACTCTATTAGTGATCCTTTTTTCATTTAACATCATGACATATGCATTTCCTAACATCATTAAATACTCTTCAGAAGTCATATTTAGTGGCTGCATAATATTTCTGTCTACTTGTACCACAGTTTACTTAATAATTCCCCTTTTTGTTGGAGATATAGGTTGTTTTCAGTACTAGGCAATTAAAATGTGTTTTTTATTATGTCCTTTGGATATATTCCAAAGAGTAGAATTTCTAAGTCAAAAGCAATAGACATTTTAAGGCTATTGTTAAAATGTAATAAAGAATTATAATTCTAGAATATAATATTTGCATGAGCAACAACATAATTACAGATGGGAGGGAAAGAAACCAAAGGACAAGTTACAGTCCTTTATATTTTTTTCCCCAAAAGGAGAAATGGACTAAAAAAAGTTCAAGTGCCTTTATAAATATTACTAGTGCCTGATGCATGAAATTCATGCAAGAGTAGGCCTTCCTTCCCCCAGCTGCCAGCACCAGCTTCCCCCTGGCACCTTAGACCCGGGATTCCCTCCAGCTCCTGGCAGGCACCCAGGACTTGGGCTTCCCTCTCAGCCCAGGCTGAGACATCCTGTCTAATTAGCATATTACTTTTATTATTATAGAAAAGGAAATCAATGTGAACCTTAGCAGCTACAAGCAATGCCTCTTATATCTTTCTCCTTCCTAAAATATGACGCTTTTCATTTCTTTATTCTACTTCTGGGTTCGGTTTCTTTCTTTGAAAGAAAAATTCCATAGGTTACTGAGATAAACAAAAGATAAGTGAGAAAAAAGAAAACTTCTAGGACTTTTCCAAAAATGAGTACAAAACTTTATTTGTGGCCAAAAAGTTTTCAATAAGATGGTCAAGGTTGTGAAGTAGGTTAATTGAAGGTGATCTCAAAATGTTTGGATTCAACTAGAATGGAAAGGCTTCAGTCACACACCAACATTCTTTCAATTCCAACAGCATTTACCTTCAATAGCTACATGAACTGATATTTTAATTCTTTTTTAAATTTTTACTTATTTTTGTATTGCTCCTTTTTCACACATATTCTCTGCTCATTAATAACTTCTTACAGGTAAATGCTAACTCAAGGATCCAAGATGATAGCACAGGAAGATGCTGAGCCTTCCTCCCAACTGAACTTATAATTGGAGCAATTCTCCTGAGGGACAACTGAGGACCAAATGAACAGCTTCTGCACAACAAACAAGAGAGAGAAACCGCAGAGAGAAGGTTGGGGAACCATGAGAGCACTACGGAGCTGAGGAAACCATCAGGCCTGGACCAAGGGGTGAGAGCCATAGTGTGGGTACAGGGGGCCCCTTTGCAGGCCAGAAGGGAGTGATAGACATATTCTAAGTATGAAAAGCAAGAACCTACAACAAGATTACTCTACCCACTAAGTATGAAAAGCAAGAACCTACAACAAGATTACTCTACCCACTAAGGCTGTCATTTAGAATCAAAGGAGAGATAGTTTCCTACACAAGAAAAAGCTAAATATTGTAATTATTAAGTAAAGAAGTTCATCACCACTAAACTAGCATAACAAGAAAATTTAAAGGTTTTTCTTTAAGAACAAATATGAATAATGGCAATAACTAGATCACTATTACTTTAAATGTAAATAGATTAAACACTCCACTCAAAATACATAGGGTGACTGAATGGATAAGAAAACAATGCTGTCTATAAGACAAAGTAAAGGGATGGAAAAATATTTCATGCAAATGGAAACAATAACAAAAAGTTGGGGTAGCAATACTTATATCAGACAAAACAGACTTTAAAGCAAAGGCTGTAACAAGAGACAAAGATTCAGCAATTCCACTTCTGAGTATTTATCTGAAGAGAAACACTAATTCAAAGAGAAATATCTACCCCTATGCTCACTACAGCATTATTTACAACTGCAAAGATATGGAAGCAACCTGAGTATCCATAGATAGACAAATGTATAAAGATATGGTACATATATATAATGGAATATTACACAGCCATAAAAAATATATCTTACCATTTGTGACAACATGGATGGACCTAGGGTATTCTGCTAAGTGAAGTCAGACAGAGAAAGATAAATACCATATGATTTCACTTACATGTGGGATATAAAGAACAAAATAAACTAATGAACAAAACAGACAAACTCGTAGATACAGAGAACATTTGGATGGCTGTCAGATAGGAAGGGATTGGGAGGATGGGTTAAAAAAGGGGAAGGGAGTAAGATGTATAAAGTGCCAGTACTACAGTAAACAGTCATGGGGGTATAAAGTACTCAAAGTATAGTCAATAATATTGTAATAACTATGTATGGTGCAGACTTATCAGGGTGATCACTTCATAAATTATACAACAAAGTGATTATAGATTTATATATCTGAAAAAATGTCAACTGTAAAAAAATTTAAAAAATCTTGCAATTTGCAACAACATGGAGAGTATTATGCTAAAATAAGTCAAAGACAAATATCACATGGTTTAACTTATATGTAGAACATAAAGAATATAAACAAATAAACAAAACAGTCAGACTCATAGATATAGAGAACAGACTAATAGGTGCCAGAGGGAAGGAGGGTGTTGGGGAAATGGGTGAACACATGAAGGGGATATAGTCAGAATTATTGTGATAAGTTTACATGGTGACAGATGGTTACTAGAATTACTGTAGTGATCACATTGTAAGGTACATAAATGTCAAATTATTATATTGTACATCTGAAACTAATATAATACTGTGTACAAAACAGGTATAGCAGACTTCACTGTAAAATTCTTTCAACTTTTCTATGTTTAAAATTTTTCATAATAAAATGTTTGAACATAAGGAATAAAATATAAGTGGTGGAATATACCTGTAATAATTGAAAATGTTTTTGAAGAACATTTAAAGATATTACACATGATTATCTATCTATCTATATATATATACACACACACACACACACACATATAAAAGTCTAAGCAACTGAAGGACCTAACGACTGGTCGGCAGGTCTTTATGCTGTATACTGACCACTAGGGGGCAGATGCTCAACACAGCAGCTGCCTCCTGGTGGTCAGTGCACTCCCACAGCCAACCTCCCATGGCTGACCAACCTCCTGCAGTCCCTCCCACTAGCTGGGTGGGTGGTCAGTGCACTTCCACAGCTAACCTCCCACAGCTGCCAACCTCCGCGGTCCCTTCCCTCAGCCGGGCAGCCCTGATCGGGACTGGGTGAGACAGCCCAATGGGCACTAACTGCCTGCCAGGCCACGGGACTCCACCCGTGCACGAACTTGTGCACCAGGCCTCTAGTATAACACAAAATGTTAAAAATCCTAACTCACAGAACAAAGAACTACACAGGAACTATCTAACAGATTTGGCTTTGGAATACAAGAGGTCTTCTTAGCAGACTTATTTAAATCAGCATATAATCCCTGAGAATAAACCAAATGGAAAAAAAAAGTAAAAAATGGTAAGACAAACATGGAGAGAAGAAAAAAATCTGACGTTTTAAAATTGCCCTGAATAAATCGACACATGAATAGCTTAGAATGACTATCATTCTACTCATGGAATGCCGTTTTCATTTCCAAAGCAGCGGTGCCCAGCCACATTCCCACTGACACGGTGAGCTATGGATGCCTGGCCCACTTTCAGTTTGCTTTTTTCTTTTTGGTCACTTTCTGGGTTTGCAGAGTAATATTATGCTCTGCTTCTGTAATGCTAACTCAGGTTAACATCATGTGGGAGTTTCCTAAGCCTGACAGGAAGTACACATTTATTCTGTAGCCTTGGTATCTTTATTACATTCACCTACTTGTACGTAACGTGACAAGAATGATGTATCCAGATGAGTTTGTTGAACCTCTGGTGGCCACTGGAACACAGCTGTAGTCCTACATGAAAACTCTGATCTGCTTCTTGGACAGAGACACGGCGAAAATATCTGTATTTATAGTCAAGTGGTTTCTGTAAAAGAAAAGGTGCATGAACTGTAATGAAACCTCACTTCACTGAGATTTCATTATTAGAATATTTATTGGAATATATTGGGTAGGGCAAAAGGAGGCTTACAGTTGTATGTGAAACACAGTTTATTCTTGCATTATTATTATTCTTGTATATATTTCTCCATATGAACTGTAAACTTGTTTTTGCCCCCCCCCTCTGTATTATGCAAGAATAACATAACATCTGTACATAGTAAAGTTGTTTTGGATATCACATACAAATGAGTATGAGTGTCTAGAAAAACAGAAGTTTTTTTCCTCCTAATCATCATAATAACCTCATGTACTAAATATGACTGCATTATTGCTACTTAATAGCTAAAGGAATGAAGACCCAGGCAGCTGAGTTAACACAGCAGTTTCGGAATGGAATTAAGACTTCTACCTCCTATCTTAAAAGACCAGTATTTCCTTCCACCTAAAAACACTTGGGAATTTTTAAAGAGAGAAAATAAGTTGGTGAAGCCTGCAGAAAAAGCACTGAGTATAACTTTTTTTTTTTTTTGCAATAACAGTAAAATCATCAATGGATAAATAAATGTGACAAGCTTCATTAGAATCACACTTCTGCAAATACTGCTGCTAAAAACACAAAAGTATCAACACTATGTATGGTTTCATTGTTATGTTCCGAAGAGAAAATGGGCTTTCTACATGGAGTTCCTAAATTCTTATTAGATAAAACCTAAACAACGAGGGGCACACAAATTCCACATTTCTGACCCCAGGAAACGCATGGCCAAGGTCACTGTCACAGAGACTATCTCTGCTCCGCAGAAGCTGCCCCAGATTTCAGGAGCCTACCAGTGCCAGGAGGAGGAGCCAGGACAGTTTGCCACAGGGTGATAGGACTAGAACTCACAGAGAAGCCTACCCTAACTATCTCGACACATAATGCTGTAGAAGGGAGATTCAGAACAAGGGAAACTTCTTTCAAATCCTACACCAACTTACAAAAGCAATAGCCTAGCGATTAGAACTTTCTCACAACTGCATTATGATTTTTTAACCAGGACTAAAAAATTGCACATGGAGAAAGTTTGTAAAAATGAAAATTAGGTCCTTGATCTGTTACGAGTTTAAAGCCCTCTAGAGGGTAATAATCCAGCGATCATATTTGCCTGGCATTTTCATTCTTTTGCAAAAATGGGAAGAAGGAATTATCTTACATTAGCTTACATCCATTAGAAATTGAAATTCTCTATATGGGGAGAGAATCCAAGATGGCTGCACAGGTAAACACCTAGCCAAAGCCGCACACAACAATTTCAATAAAATACAACTAAAATATAAAATGGACATTACCCAGAACTACAGGAAAGTCGACTAACTGGAAATTCTACAACGAGAAGGAGAAAACCAGAAGGAAGAGCGGAGGAGCTGTAAAAGCCTAAGGTACGGAGACACGTGGCACGCACGGAGAGGATGGAGCCAGAGAGGAGGGGTGGCTGAGTGCCTGGCTGGTGTTCCCTAGCGGGAAGGAGATAAAAGCTCCGACTGTGGTGGGCCTCAGTTCCGACTGCTCTGAAACCCAGTTCTAGGCCAGACCCCAGGGACCCAGGATCATCCAGAGGGAGCTGGGCTGTAAGGAGGAACCCTGGGGGAGCAGCGAAAGGAGGTCCCGGAGGCACACACATTGCTCGCAGAGAAGGGACGGTTGGCTGTGCCACAGGATTGCCCTGGCGGGAAGGAGACAAAAGCTCCGGATTGCTCAGAATGCCACCTCCAACTCCACTTCCAACTGAACTGAACCCCAGTTCCGGGCTCATTGGAGGAGAGCCTAGACTGTTTGGTAGCAGGCAAAAATCGAGGGCACCTTTCTCTCAGAGGTGCTTGCAAGAGTACTGAAGGGCCCTGGGGATTACTGAGACTCAGGAACCGCATAGGGTGGGGCTGACGGAAGCCAGGGCTGTAGGCTCCACCCTGAAACCCCGCCTTATCAGGGAAGCTGTGAAAATGCCAAGACAACGAAATAGATCACAAACGAAAGAAATGGAGGACAAAAGGCGACTGGATATAGAGTTCAAATCTACGCTTATAAGGTTTTTCAAGAACTTCCTAGAAAAGGTCGATAAGACCTATGAGGATATGAAAAGGGATCAACTAGAATTAATAAGGAATCAACAAGAAATGATAAGGGATCAACAAGAAATTAAGAATACATTGTCTGAAATAAAAAAATATTATACAGAGTCCTAAAAACAGAATGGAAAATCGCAAGAATCAAGTCAAAGATTTGGAACATAAAGAGCCAGAAGACACTCCTCTACAGAAGCAAAAAGGCAAGAGAATCCAAAAAATGGAAGATAATGTAAGAAACCTCCGGGACAACTTCAAGCGAACCAACATCAGAATTATGGGCGTCCCAGAAGATGAGAGAGAGCAAGATATCAAAAACATACTGAAAGAAATAATGACAGAAAACTTCCCCTACCTGGGGAAAGAAATAGTCTTAAAAGTCCAGAAGCACACAGAACTCCAAACAAAAAGAATCCAAAGAGGACCACACTGAGACATATAATTAAAATTCCAAGAGCAAAAGACAAAGAGAGAATATTAAAAGCAGCAAGAGAAAAGCAGGTAGTTACCTATAAAGGAGCACCCATACGATTATCAGCTGATTTTTCAACAGAAATCATGCAGGCCAGATGGGAATGGCAAGAAATATTTAAGGTGATGAATAGTAAGAACCTACAGCCAAAAATAATCTACCCAGCAAAGCTATCACTCAGAATCGAAGGCCAGATAAAGAGCTTCACTAATAAAAAAAAAAGCTAAAGGAGTTCATCACCACCAAACAAGAATTATATGAATTGCTGAAGGGGGTTCTTTCGGAAGAGAAAGTAAATAAAGATAAAAATTATGAACAACAAATACATAACTATCAACAAGTGAATCTAAAAACCAAGGAAATTTTTTTTAAAAATCTGATGAACAATATTAACTGTTGAATATAATAGAATCAGAGGTATGGAAGGGGAGTGAACTGACGATTCTTGGGGAAAAGGGGAGAGGGGAATGTGGGAAGAGACTAAACATAAACTGTGCACCTATGGATGAGGACAAAGAGGGCTAGGGAAAGGGCAGAGGGTGGGATGGGAACCTGATGGAGGAGAGCAATGGAGGGGGGTGGGGGGAGAAGCATTTGTAATAATATGAACAATAAAAATTAAAAAAAAAAAAAAAGAAATTCTCTATATGAATATCCTTATGAAAGAATTACTCATTTAAGCTAATTTAGGAAGAAAATCCCCTATGATTCAAAATGAGAAAAAAAAATCATATTCAGGTATCATTTTACTAGTTACTTTACAGGATATTTTGGCTTTTCATTTTCACATGTGAAAAAACTAGACCAGAAAAAAAAAAAAAAAAAAATTGAGAAAAACAAGCTGATCCAATTAAAAATAACCACATTTTAGAAAACCCTCCAGTTCTCTTTAGAGAGATGCTATAAGTCAACATACATTTTGTATAATAGTATAAATAATGAAACAGTATATTTGACCCTTTCTAGTCAAGAATCCTTGAATGAAACGTTACTCAAAAGTAGCCCTAGCTGGTTTGGCTCAGTAGATAGAGCCTGACCTATGACGGAGAGGAACCAGGTTTGATTCTAGTCAAGGGCACGTATCTCGATTGCAGGCTCCTTCCTGGCCCAGCCCCCTTCCTAGCCCAGGCGCTGGTCGGGGTGCGTGCAAAAGGCAACCAATTGATGTGTTCTCTCATATCGATATTTCTCTGTCTTTCCCTCTCTCTTCCACTCTCTCTAAAAACAATGGAAAATATCCTCAGGTGAGGATTAAAAAAAAAAAAAAAAAGTAAACTGCTATTTCAACTTTATATACTCACTTCTTCTTTTTTCTTAGTTATCACAGCAAATACTTTGGTCTGATTGTCTGTATCTTGTGACAAGCGATAATGGCCCAGTAGAACTGCATCAGTTCTAAAAATAAAAAATATACTTTAAATCTAAGTCTATTGATCAGTTATTACATGTATTTAAGTAATCTAGGAAGTAATGGATTATAATAGTGTTTAAGAACTTGCTCGAGAAGAAATCAGCTAGGATGTGAGTGAACCTGGTTTCCAAGGCCACAGAGACCCACTGAAGTACACTCTCCAGAGGAAAGGTGCAGAATTTATCTTTTTCACAAATGCCCACCCAGTGACTGTTAAATCATCCAGTAGTAAGTTAAGGAACCACAGGATTACATTAACCTATACATTCATATAAAATGTGACCTGGATAGAAAACTATAGAAAAACACTACCTGGTATTCCGAGTCCTTAAACGAGGAACAATGGACTGAGGCTCCTCGGGGGTTGTCAACATCATCACATGGCCATCAGGAAAGAACCTTATGTACCTGTGTAAACAGGAACAGAACACCAAAAAACACCACACACAAAGTATAAAACTCGTCCTTCTCTACTGGTACCTCAACCTAGCCATAGCTGTGAAACCGAGACGGAAATACCATGGCAAACATCATTAAAACATGACTGACAACTTGTGAGGCCAGCAACAAAGAACGAAAGGCACTTTATTATCTTCCTTATAGGGAACTGCTGAACTTTTAGTTTCACTCACTGAATAAAAGTTAGATCAGCCGAAACCGGTTTGGCTCAATGGATAGAGTGTCGGCTTGGGGACTGAGGGGTCCCGGGTTCGATTCCGGTCAGGGGCATGTACCTTGGTTGCAGGCATATCCCCAGTAGGGGGTGTGCAAGAGGCAGCTGATCGATGACTCTCTCTCATCGATGTTTCTAACTCTCTATCTCTCTCCCTTCCTATCTGTACAAAATCAATAAAATATTTTTTTTTTTAAAGTTAGGTCAAATAATACTCTATTAAAGTTCTGTGTTTTTTCCTAAAACACTAATGTCAAACAAAAATGGAATCTCACAATACATTACTATTATTCACATATCTACTTATATCTCACTGACAGTATTAACTGATTAACAAAAAGGCTGAATAAGAGCACAAGTTATTGGAAAAGGCAAATGAGTATACCAAGGGCAAAAGAGAAGGAAGAACTCTAAAATATAAAATATTCTTAGATTTAGAGGCTAGGAGGAATTAAATTTGCAGTAACCCATTGGTTCTGTTAAGTACAATTCTTTTTCTTTTTTTTTTAAATATATATTTTTATTAATTTTTTATAGAGAGGATGAGAGAGGGATAGAGAGTTAGAAACATGAATGAGAGAGAATCATCGATCAGCTGCCTCTTGCACACCCCCTACTGGGGATGTGCCCACAACCAAGGTACATGCCCTTGACCAGAATCGAACCTGGAACCTTTCAGTCTGCAGGCCGACACGCTATCCACTGAGCCAAACCAGCCTCAGCCCATTAAAATTTTTTAAATTTTTAGTTTATATTAAGGAGAGAGGAGATTTTTATATGTTACACTAGAGGCTCTATCCACTGAGCCAAACCAGTTTCGGCTGAGTACAATTCTTATTTATAATAGTGGATAAAAATATTGAGGGCCATTTGTGGATAAATGTAAAAGCTACAGAGAAGAGATGTCCAATAACTAATTAATGAATACTTGGAGAGAGAGAATTTTTCACTCACTCAGTTTACTACAGTTGTACCTGTAATATTCCACTTGGTGCCAGGCTCTATAGAAACCATCAAGAGACTGTTCCCCTTGACGAATATATGTGGTTTTACTGATATACACTCCTATAAGAAAAATAAATAAAAAAATAAACACATTTTTTAAACAAATAAGAATAAATTTAAACATTTTAAAATTAAAATCATATAGAAAAGTTCTAGCTTCATTTTTATTGTAGTTTCCTTTAAATATGCTCATAATACTTAGGTCTGATAGAGAAAACTAAGAATGGGTACTGATCAAAATCAACATGATAAATCTCTATTTCTCTTGAGTTCTAAAGGGTTCAACTTACCATCAAACCGAACACGGGGCCTTTCTAGAAACATCTCTCTCCAGGATGTGTATGGAACAAGTTTAATACAGCTTCTGCCCCAAACTTTCAAGCAGGCCAAACGCCATATTTCAGGGTCTCTAAGTAATAAAAGTACAGCATCAATATATGTAAAAGGCTAAGTCCCTATGTGCAGAAACGGTCCCTGCTACCAGCCATCTTCTATTCAGCAAGTATTTGAGTGCCTGTTAGGCATAGTCCTGGGTCTGGAGATAGATTGGTGGACAAAGGCCCTGCTCTTTTACTGTTGGGAAAGCAAGTAAACAGAAAGTTTCAGGTAATGTGCTCAGTGCAAAAACAAACAAAAGCAGGGTAAATAGACAAAGAAGTAGTAGTGGGAAAATAAAAACTATTTAGATACAGTGGCAAAGACAGGCCTCCCTGGGAGGTGATGAGGAAGAATGCCCTGGGCAGAAACTGTAGCAAGTGTAAGACCCTCAGGTGAGGGTGTGGCTGGTATGCTTTAACAAGGAGCAAAAAAAAAAAAAAAAAAAAAAAAAAAAAAAAAAAGACTACATGGTTGCAGCTAAGTGAGCAAGGTGAAGTATAGCCTACATAATTTCAGGGGTAGTCAGGGGCAGGTGAGACCCTAGTTACAGGTAGGAATGGCTATTAAATAAGTTAGAAGTCATCTGCCCATTTTCACCACTCCTGTTCGACATAGTTCTGGAAGTGCTAGCCATAGCAATGAGACAAGAAGAAGAAATAAAAGGTATCCAAATTGGAAAAGAAAACATAAAACTGTCATTATTCGCAGATGACATGATACTGTACATAGAAAGCCCTCAAGACTCCATAAAAAAATTATTAGACTTAACAAATGAATATGGCAATATTGTAAGATACAAAATTAATGCCAAGAAGTCTATGCCATTTTTATACACCAATAGTGAACTTAGAGAGATTAAAAAAAAAAAAAATCCCATTTACCATCACACCAAAAAAATTAAGATACGTAGGAATAAACTAAGGAGGTAAAAGACCTGTACTCAGAAAACTATAGGACACTGAAAAAAAGAGATGAAAGAACATACCATGTTCATGGATTGGTAGAATATACATCATTAAAATGTCCATACTATCCAAAGCAACCTATAGACTCAATGCACTCCCCATTAAAATACCAATGGCATATTTCACAGTCCTAGAACGAACTCTCCAAAAATTCATCTGGAATAAAAAAAAAAGACTCCAAATAGTGCAGCAATCCTGAGAAAGAAGAACAAAGTAGGTGGGTCTCAATACCAGATATCAAGCTGTATTACAAAGCCACTGTTCTCAAAACTGCCTGGTACTGGCACAAGAATAGACATATAGACCAATGGAATAGAATAGAGAACCCAGAAATCGACCCAAACCACTATGCTCAATTAATATTTGACAAAGGAGGCAAGAACATACAATGGAGTCAAGACAGTTTCTTCAGTCGAAGCCAGTTTGGCTCAGTGGTAGAGCGTCGGTCTGCGGACTGAAAGGTCCCAGGTTTGATTCCGGTCACGAGCATGTACGTTGGTTGTGGGCACATCCCCAGTAGGGGGTGTGCAAGAGGCAGCTCATCGATGTTTCTCTCTAATCGATGTTTCTAGCTCTCTATCTCTCTCCCTTTCTGAAACTCTGTTAAAAATAAATAAAATATATTAAAAAAAAAAAAAGTTTCTTCAATAAATGATGGGAAAGTTGGATACATGCAAAAAAAATTAAACTAGACCACCAATTTACACCATACACAAAAATAAACTCAAAATGGATAAAGGACTTAAACATAAGATGGGAAACATAAAATCTTAGAGGAATCCATAAGCAGCAAAATCTCAGACATATACTGAAGCAATATTTTCACTGATACAGCTCTTAGGGGAATGGAAACCAAAGAGAAAATAAACAAATGGGACTACATCAAAATAAAAAGCTTCTGTACAGCAAAAGAAACCATAGACAAAACAAGAAAGCCTACTGCAAGGGAGAACATATTTGCCAATGTTATCACCAATAAGGGTTTAATCTCCAACATTTACAAGGAATGCCACAACTTAACAAAAGGAAGATAAACAATCGAATAAAAAAATGGGCAACAGATCTAAATAGATACTTTTCAAAAGAAGACAGAAGGAAAGCCAAGAGACACATGAAAACATGTTCAAAGTTACTACTCATCTGAGAGATGCAAATCAAAACAACAATGCGGTATCATCTCACCTGCCAGAATAGCTATTATCAATATATCAACAAATAACAAGTGCTGGCAAGGAAGCAAAGAAAAAGGAACCCTCGTGCACTGCTGGTGGGAATGCAGACTGTGCAGAACAGTATGGAGTTTCCTCAAAAAACTAAAAATGGAACTCCCATTTGACCCAGTGATCCCACTTCTAGGAATATATACCAAGAAACCATCACCAATCAGAAAGGATATATGCGCCCCTATGTTCATAGCAGCACAATTTACAATAGCTAAGCTGTGGAAACAGCCTAAGTGCCCATCAGCAGATGAGTGGATTAAAAAACTGTGGTACATCTACACAATGGAATGCTACACTGCGGTAAAAAAGGAATTCTTACCATTTGCAACAGCATGTATGGAACTGGAGAGCATTATGCTAAGCAAAATAAGCCAGTCAGAGAAAGATAAGTATCACATGATCTCACTCATTTGTGGAATGTAATGAACAACATAAACTGATGAACAAAAAACAGATCCAAAGACATAGAAGCATCAATCAGACCTTCAAACCTCAGAGAGAAGGTAGGGGAGAGTGGTAAGGAGGAGAGATCAACCAAAGGACCTGTATGCGTACATATAAACCTAACCAATGGACACCAACACCAGTGGGGTGAGAACAAGAGTGGGGGGGGGGGGAGGAGGCAATGGGAGGATAAGGACACATATGTAATACCTTAATCAATAAAGAAAAAAGAAGATAGAGGTCATTGTAGAGTTTTGAACATGACTTATGCTTTTAAAAGATGCGTCTGAGAGAGGTCCAAAATGGTGGTGGCATTAGAGGATGCTGAACCCACCCCCTCCCATGAGCAAACTCAAATAGACGCATATATAATGAGCAATTACTCCTGCATGACAACTGAGGGATGAATGGACAGCTTCTGAACAATGAGCAAAGAAAGATGAATAGGGAAGACTGGGAAACCACAGGAGCCCTCTGGGAGCTGAGGGAACTGTCTGAGCTGGAGGAGCTGGTGAGCGCCATTGTTTACATCCCCTCCACTTCAACAGGGTGAGCAGGGGCTTTACTTGGGTGCTTGGGCTTACCTGCAAGATCACCACAGTGAGTTCCCAGCTATATTATCCAGGGCTGTTTGCCTCCAAATAAAGGAAGCTAACAGGGATATCAGCATCACATGTACCTTCTGGCTTCTCTGCAGGGAGGCCTCCAACCTCTCAAGCCAATACTCCCAGTGCTGCATGCACCTGACCCACTCCAACCAGCTTCTTAAAAACTACCTGGCAATAAAGCCTACACTGATATCATTCTACACCAAACAACATGAGAGACTTACAAAGAAGGCTGGGGAGCCACCGGAACCCTCTGGGTCGGAGGTGCCAGTAAGCGACATTGTTTATGTCCCCCTTCCATAGGGCGGGCAGGGGCTCTACCCAGGTGCTTTGGCATATCTGCAAGGTCACTGCAGCACATTCCCAAACACATCTTCCAAATCCATTTTGCCCCTGAATGAGGGAACAAGCAGGATCAACAGGGCATCAATACCTGCATTTGACCTCCCCACCCAGAGCATCTCAAACTTGGTAGACCAGTGACCTGGAAACCTTAGCACCTAACTCAGCACCCTACTTGCCTGCCAAAAACCACCCAGCACACAGATCCTAAACAGAGGCTATTTCTACATAAAGCCACTTTTTCAAGACTGGAAGAAATAGCTATTGTGTTTAATTCATATAAACAAACATGGAAAGTCAAAATGACAAACAGAATCTCTCTCAAATAAAGGAAAAAGAAAATTCCCCAGGAAAAAAAAGCTCTAAGGAAATGAAGACAAGTAATTTGCCTTATAAAGAATTTTTTTTTAAATGGTCATAAGGATGCTCACCAAACTTGTGTGTGGAACTCAGGGGGAACTTTTACAAAGAGAAGATATGATAAATAGGCAGACCTGAAGAATATAATTGGCATAAAAAAAAAAAAACCATGAAGGAACCAACAGCAGATTACATGATATAGAAAAAAAGATCAATGACCTAGAAGAGAGAATAGTGGGAATTTATAAGTCAGAACAACAAAAAATAAAAAATTATAAAACACAAGGATAGTATAAGGGATCTTTGAGATAATTTCCAGTGCTCAGCAACTCCCATTATAAGGATCCTAGGAGAAAAAGAGGGAAGGAATAGAAACCTTATTTACAGAAATAATGGCTCAAAACTCTCCTAACGTGGGGGGGGGGGGGGGAAACAGACTTTCAGGTCAAGGAAGCACATAGGGTTCTAAGCAAGATGACCCAAATAGACCCACATCGAGTCATATTGTTATTAAATGATAAAAGTTAAAGACAATGAGAATCTTAAAGGAAGCAGAAGAAAAATGAGTTACAAACAAAGGAAACCCCATATGACTATCAGCTGATTTCTCAGCAGCAACTTTACAGGTTGGAAGGGAGTGGAAGGACAACTTTAAAATGTTGCAAAACAGGAATTGATAGTTTAGATTAAGTTACCCAGCAAAGCTATCATTCAGATTTAAAGGAGAGGTAAAGAGTTTCCCAGACAAGCAAAAATTAAAGGAGTTCATCATCATTAAACCAGTTTTACAATAAATATTGAAGGGTCTTCTTTAAGCAGAAAAGGCCATAAGCAGAAATTAAAGAGTATGAGAAAATGAATCTACCAGGTAAAGCCAAATATTTAATAAATATAGCCAATCTAACATTTAAAAAGCTACTATGAAGATCAAAAGTAAAAAGTAATGGTGACTGAACTAGAATGTACTTTGGAGAAATAGTAAAATGGTCAGACTGGAGATATATTTTACAAGTAGTGCCAATGAGTTTTTGTTATGAGATTAGTACAAAAAATGATGTTAAAAGACGTATTGTATAGTCACATGATTCTTAACATAACTCAAAAAATATTTAACTTTATTTATAACTTAAAATATTCAGTTTTAAAGGTGTAAAACTACTTACATTGGAACCAGACTAAAAAAAGAGACCCCCCTCCAAATGTATGTTGCTACGCATATTTTTAAAAATTACTTTTCTTTTATAACATCTGAGGTTTAATCCCTGAAAATTTGTTTTCTTAATAAACTCACCTTTATGTTTTCTCATGTATAATCAAAAGAAAAATTAATGGAGGAACAGTGCTAGAGACCCAAATTTCAAAAGGTTGGTGGTAATTCACTAGATATTAAATAGGTACTTTTTAAATAGAATAGTATACAAAATCACCAAAAAGCAAAGACTTCAAGCAATTCAAATATTTTACCCAAAATACAGGACTCCAAATGAACTTGGGTTATTTAAAAATAGTGCATCTAAATTTTAAGAATTAAAATTACAGAAGAAGTTCTAGCCAAAACCGGTTTGGCTCAGTGGGGAGTGTCAGCCTGCAGACTGAAAGGTCCTGGATTCGATTCTGGTCAAGGGCATGTACCTGAGTCTCGGGCACATCTCCAGTAGGAGGTGTGCAAGAGGCAGCTGATCGATGTTTCTAACTCTCTATCCCTCTCCTTTCCTCTCGGTAAAAAAAAAATCAATAAAATATATTTAAAAAAAAAAAGAAGAAGTTCTAAATGCTAAGGACTAAGTATGTATCTATACTAATAAAAGATGCAAATTGGCAGTACCTTTGCAACAGCCACCAGCCAATCAGGAGTGGGTATGCAATTAACTCAACATGGCGGGTTAATTTGCATACACAGGCGCCAAGTGGCCAGGGGCAGGGTGGGATGCATGCATCATCACCATGGTGACAACACAGGCGTTCTACACTGCCCCAGCCTCTGCGCAGTGTGGGAAGGCGGAAGGGCGAGTCCGAATGGAGCGAAGGCGGTGCCTGCAGCCAGGGGAAGGAAGGCCTGTTCTTGCATGAATCTTTGTGCATCGGGCCTTTAGTTTTTACATAAGATGCCCATGAAAGACTACCAGTCCCAAATGATGTTATATTGTGATTATTCTTCACACAGCATGATTTCAAAAGTATAGGGTAATTTTTAATGAGCTAAAAAAAAATTCTAGTGCAATCAAAATTTAAATCATTACCACTTTTAATGGGTTTTAAGTTACTGTGGAAATGGCTGGAATGTTTTTTTGGCAGGATTTCTTTGCTAAATCAGTTAAGCTAGCATGCAAACTACTCTATGGAAGTGTGTGACTGTATCTGCTCCACACATTATTCTATACCAATGGTCAGCAAACTCATTAGGTCAACAGAGCCACAGTTTGCCGACAACTGTTCATGAAAACTCAGTGCATTCCAGGCTTCAAATGCTAATGGGCAGGGGCTCTACCTAGGTGCTTTGGCATATCTGCAAGGTCACTGCAGCACTGTACATATGAGAAAATCACATATGTACAGCTCAGCAAAACTGTTCTAAAATAGCTTTTATCCAGAGCTTCAATCAAGTTCTTTTATTAAAATTGGCAAATGGTCATAATCCCTTCTTTTATCACTGCCTGAGCTATTTAAAAAAAAGTAAGTACCTGGCACAGATATAGAATCCTCTGCACACCTGTGACAACTGCTCTAAGGATCTGAGATCCAAATCACTAGACACCACCCATCGGAAGATGTACATCAGGACCTCCATTGGCAGCACTGCAAAAGAAAATCACCCTTTCAGTGACTCTCCTGACAGCCTTCTGTCACATTCTTAGAGCAGGTACCTTTATGTATTCCTACAAATTTATGAATCATACCTTCAGTATTGCTCAAACATAAAGCGTAAGTGTATTTAACTACCCCAAAGTAATAATGGTTACTAACATGAAGACACAAATATTTTTGTGTTTTTCCCCCAGTATAGAATAGATCTGAAGCTACTTTTATAAAGCACCACCATCCCTTGGAAGATCTTTTGCCACCAAGATATATTAAAATAAGTGTGCTAGCCCTAACTGACTTAGTTCAGTGGCTACAGTGTCAGCCTGTGGACTGAAGGGTCCCAGGTCCAATTCCAGCCAAGGGCACATGCCTGGGTTGTGGGCTCGATCCCCAGTAGGGGGCGTGCAGGAGGCAGCCGATCAATGATTCCCATCATTGATGTTTCTATCTCTCCTTCTCCCTTCCTTCCTGAAATCAATAAAGAAATATATTTTTTAAATAAATAAATAAGTGTGCTAGAAAAATAATCTACTATATATATGTGTGTGATTGCATTTAACAGTAAAAGTTGTTTTTTTTTCAGAATTCAGTAGATAAGTTTATTGCTATTACTATTACCATTTTTTTATTAAGTTATTATATGTGTATATATCTTTCCATTGCCCCCCCCCTGCTCCTATATATGCCCTCCCCCCCAGAGTTTTTCGTCCATTGGTTTTGCTTATAAGTAAAAGTTGTTTTCATCTTCTTGAAAATTTCTAATTGTCCCCCATAACAAATGAAACACCATATAAAAAGAAAAAAAAAACACATTCATTTTTAAACATTCAGCTTATCTCAGGACTACTGTTCAACTTGGCTGAACATCTGATGATACTCCTCCAATTTTCTTAGGACAGCTCCCAACAACTCAAGATCTCACACTCTTAGATCTTCAGTGAAGAAAGTATGGCAGCCTGGAACAATGGGACTACAAACTCTGATCCACTTTGGACTTTGAAAAGCTTATTAGTATACACAAACCATGATTATAACTAGATCTCCAATCTTATCTGACCTCGGAAGTCTGGAAATCTAAAATCTAAGGTTAAAGTATTTCTCATGGACTGATAACAAGCATAAATTCTCACCTGATATGTGAGTCTGACTGCTCTCAAGTTCAGGCTGACACAGTTTGAGCATAGACTCCTGAAACGTGAGCTGCTGCTGGAAGTAGGACAATAGATCTGCCATCTTGCTATCATCATCATTATCTTCAATGCTGCAAAAGGAGGAAGGTGAATACACTAAGGGCCTCAGTCTACAACCATAAAGTTTAGTAACTGATTTTTCCATAATATTTCCCAATCTTCTTTATAAAAAGTCATCTAAATGCAAACTACTGCTTTTTTCTTTGATGTGATAAAAGTATGCCCTGCCTTGCAGAAGAGTACCATAACAAAGCTTCAGTAAATTTAATTCCCACCCAGAATTAGAATTAGAATTTTGGGATACAAATTTTGAGATTTATTAGTTTCTTTTTATTTTTTTAATATATATTTTATTGATTTTTTACAGAGAGGAAGGGAGAGAGATAGAGAGCTAGAAACGTCTATGAGATAGAAACATCGACCAGCTGCCTCCTGCACACCCCCCACCGGGGATGTGCCCACAACCAAGGTACATGCCCTTGACCAGAATCGAACCCGGGACCTCTCAGTTCGCAGACCGACGCTCCACCACTGAGCCAAATGGGTTTTGGCGAGATTTATTAGTTTCAATGTAGAGATTTCATGTGTTAATGAAAAAGAATTTCGCCGAAACCGGTTTGACTCAATGGATAGAGCATCAGCCTGCGGACTGAAAGGTCCCGGGTTCGATTCCGGTCAAGGGCATGTACCTTGGTTGCGGGCACATTCCCAGGAGGGGATATGCAAGAGGCAGCTGATCAATGATTCTCTCTCATCAATGTTTCTAACTCTCTATCCCTCTCTCTTCTCTAAAAAAAAAAAACAATAAAAATACATTAAAAAAAAAAGAATTTCACATGATTTTAAAAATCTTATGTAAACATATTCTTTTAAAAGTGACTGTCATCCATCTAACTGGATAAATCAAATATACTGTACAGATGTCATTTGAGGTACTTACCAAGGGTTTTCTAACAGATGTGCCTTATCAGCCTACCTTTAGAGGAAAATGTGTAACCCAAAAAAAAATCTTAGCAGGGTCCACAAATCATCTCCAATATAAACAAACGTGTAGAGTTCCATTTTTGCTGAGAATAACCTTAAAAATGATCAAATGTCCCAAATGGCTTAGATGAGGACGAAGTTAGGAAACCAGGAAAAGCTTATTATAATACAACAAAGTTTGAGTTTGGTTGGATTCAAGAGCTACTTTATCAACATTTTGCAAAAAAAAAAAAAAAAAAAAGGCAGACTATTAGGGCTTTTATATATGATAAAAAAAAAAACAACACAAGAATGTATCTTTAAAGAACTTTCACAGCATTTAGGTTTGTATAAAGGAATTTCACAGAAAAAAAATGCTTCTTTAATGTTTTAATACAAACTTCCTTAACAACACTTGGAGTCTATTTCTAGAACTGGCTAAGAACTGGGTCCAAATGATTCTACCCAAATTTTAAAGAGGCTTAGCAAAAGCCCAAATGATACTTTTTAAAGTATGAACTACCTTACACTATTAAGTCTAATCTGCCAAACAATATTATTGGCCGAAAAGTTCAAATAGGCAATTAATAAAGACTTCATTCGAATGTTTTTTATGTGGCTTATTCAAAGCTTAAGTGCTAATACTATAAGCAGTTAACAAACACTGGTAATAAATATAAGTTATTGATAAAGAAACATCTTAATTATTTCATGGCAGAAGTAATATAATAGATAATATAATGTCTTATTACCCAAACTCTATTTTTCTAGATGTTCATCTTTTTAATATATATATATATATATATATATATATATATATATATATATATAATTTTTTTTATTGATTTCAGAGAGGTAGGGAGGGATAGAAACATCAATGATAAATCATTGACTGGCTGCCTCGGCAGGCCCCCTACTGGCGACTGAGCTCACAACTTGGGCATGTGCCTCAAAAGGGAATCGAGCTGCAACCTCCTGGTTCAAAGATGGATGCTCAACCACTGAGCCACATCAGCCAGATGGTGTTGTTCATTTTAAACGTGACATTGTCTCATGGGTTCAGATTCCCTTCCCTTCTATAATCAGTAAATTGGGGTTCTGGGGATGAATAATTTTATACCATATTTTCCGGTGTATAAGACGACCCAATAATTTTACAGTTAAAACATAGGTTTAGGCCTATATTCGCTGTATAAGACTACACCCCACTTCAAAGAAAAGACTTACTTTGTCGTCAAGATCTGCAGGTAATTTTTGTGCAATTTTGGTCTTTTGCCCCCGATTTTCGGTTGACTTTTTTTCATTTCAAAAATCGTCTTATACGCCGGAAAATACGGTAATTGTTTTGCAAATAGCTTCAAAAGTACTGACTTCAAAATTTAGTCTCTTGATCTTTATCATATAAAACCATCACGGCTGACTCAAGAGCTGGGTCTATCCAATGAAATATGGTTTATTTGGTGAGTGCTTATATCCTGCACCTGTGCTTTTAAACCAACGTTATAGTTAACAATATTCCACCTACATAACTTAAGGAATAATAAACTAAGTTTTGTTACAATTCAGCATTTTCCTAATAAAATGAAAAGCCCCCTTGTTAGTAAAAATTTATAGTTTCAAACATATACAAAAGGAGAAAGACTAGTGTAATGAAACCCTATTTCAACAGTTGTTAACACTTTTCAATTCTAGCTAAATTACATTTTAATAGTCTTGACTTTAAATAGGTTTCAGTAAGCTGAAATATGCCCTGTAACTTACTCCTTTCAATAATCACTGCCTTTATAAAACAATTCTTTCATCACCTTATTTCTGTTGTGTCTATTTAAAAAGTGCAGTTCTATGTTTTAATATTAAATGTCCCTAATTAAAAATTTCTATAACTTTATCAACAAGTCTTTATACTAATCACTATATGACTTAAGAGAAAAGTACCATCTTCTTATGTTAAGAGTTAACAGGCCAAAGATGCTTAATTTTAACAAACTCTATGTATTACTGTCTATCAAATTATATACGCACTAGCTGTTTCCAACGCCATCACCATCTGGAGACCGGGTATAAGTAATCTTGAACTCTATATCAGGTACAAGTTGCATAGCCCTACGATAAAACTTGATGGCTAAAAGAAGAAATAAAGCTAAATTAGCTATGACCACACATTTTTTGTCATTTCCTTTGATTACCCTTAACTGTGGTTTAGTTTGGTAACTTTCTTTACAAACAGCCAAATTCCCTTTATCTACATGCCACAGTAGTTCAATGAACAAACTTATTTCTAAACCTTACTACTCAGAAACAATCTTTCTTTTCCCTAAAGCTAACATGTTACAGAAACTTAAGGTGTTGCATTTTACTGGTCTTTTAGCCCTTCCCATCTTTTTCCTCGGCCTCTTATGTATTGTCAGAAGTGATCTTATGTAGATGTCTTCCTTCAAAGTTGGAAAATGCAATTGCTATAGCCCCAACAAAAAAACTTTTAAGTAAATTTTTCTTTTGAAAACACAGAATTAAGGAAAATCAAATGCTCCCTAGTGGATGGAATAAAGAGAATAAGTTTTTTCAAATTTATTCTTCAAATATAACTTTAGTCCAACTGCCTCTTATTTAGCTAAATAACTTTAAAACCTCTTTTTGTTTTTGTTTTAAATAAATCTCCTGGCCTGAGGTTTGGAGTTATATTTGATAATATCTTACACAATGATATATCAATAAAACATGGGGCTGTAGAAGCCAACTAGATGGCCTCTACTTAATTCAGTACACTCTGCCATGTTTTCTTTTTCACTATACACTAAGTGAAGGTGGGAATTTTTCAAACTAATTAAGTCTATAGAGAGATATTAATTGGATCCTTTTAATATCTCAATGTGAAAAATATAACTAGAAGAAATTTGTCAATAATGCAATAATTCTGAAAATGTCATTTTAGGGGCATATTCAAAAGCTCTGAGCAAAAGAATATTTCCTATGCCCCAATTATTAGCTTTACTATGACAAAATGAAAGCCCAAATACAAACATAATACGGTGAATAGCCTTATTACTGTGTTCACTTATGTATTCCTATTAGCCTACTAATAGAAACAAAGTTAAAAGGGTATTACTTCACAGATAACATAAATTAGAACTTAGGAAATATGTTCCTCAATGGATCCTTAGTATTTCCCACCTGAAATAATTTCACTTATAAAAGAAGCATAACCTATTTTTAAATAAGTAGTAATATGTTTAAGTCTTTAATAATGAAGAATATTAAAACCTAAATTTTAAAAAAGTCATTTTACTCATCCTATCAATATTAGGTTTCCCAGCAATGTTTTTTTTTTTTTTTAAAAAAAGATTAAGGTTATATAGAAATAAAATTTTTATTTTTGATAGTTTAAGAACCAATTTCAAATATAGGGAGACTGATGTTCTATGCCAAATATATTCTAGTAAAAAATTTTCTCAGTAACAGAGTCATTATTCAGAAATGTCATGACAGTATGACCCTGAGTTTTTACCTTCATAGAGAGCTCCATTTTGTTCTTCTTCTACTGCTTTTAGGAAGAGTTCTCGAGCCTATAAAAATAAACAGTAGAAAATATCTTTAAATTCAGTATTAAAATCAGTATTAAAAATGAGTATGAATAGCAGAGAATAGTCCTCTCAACAAATGGTGCTAGAACAACTGGACATCCATAAGCAAAATAACAAACCTCGACCTAAACCTCACATCTTACATAAAAATTAACTTGAACGTGATCATGGAGTTAAATTAAAATTTTTTAAACTTTCAGGAAAAAAAAAAAAAAGATAAAGAAAACCTTGGAGACCTAGCAGTAAGCAAAATTCTTATACTTCACACCAAAAACACAAGCCATAAAAGTTGATAAATTGAACCTCACCAAAGTTAAAAATGTGTTCTGCAAAATATTCTGTTAAAGATGGAGCCCTAGCTGGTTGGGCTCAGTGGATAGGGCGTCAGCCTGTGGACTGAAGGGTCCCAGGTTCGATTCCGGTCAAGGGCGCATGCCTGGTTGCAGACTCGATCCCCAGTGTGGGGCATGCAGAATGCAGCCTATTAATGATTATCTCTTAGCATTGATGTTTGTATCTCTCTCTCCCTCTCCCTTCCTCTCTGAAATCAATAAAAATATATTTTTTTAAAAGAAAAAAGATGGAAAAACAAACTATAACTTGAAAGAAAGCATTTAGAAAACAAAATGAACTCTTAAAAACTCAACACTGAAAACATAAGCAATCTAATTAGAAAAGATAAACCAACATTTCACAGTGAGGATATAAAAGCTGGAAATAGCACATGAAAACAGCACTATTAGACATTAGGAAAATGCAAATTAAAATTAAAATGATGTGACCCAGCCAGTGTTGCTCAGTGGTTGAGCATGGACTCATGAACTAGGAGGTCATGGTTTGATTCTGGTCCAGGTAGATGTCTGGGTTGTGGGCTCGATCCCCTGGAGAGGGCGGGCAAGAGGCAGCCAATCAATGATTCTCTTTCATCATTAATGTTTCTGTCTCTCCCTCTCCCTTCCTCTCTGAAATAAAAATGTATTTTTAAAAAGTACAAGTATTATACACCTATCAGAATGGTTAAAATTAAAAAGTAATGACACACCAAATGCTGACAAGGATGCAGAGACACTGGATCACTCGTACATGGCTTAGGGAACATAAAATGGTATAAACATTCTGTAAAACAGTTTGGCAGTTTCATATATACATATACATATACATACACACACACACACACACACACACACACACATGATTTTAGAGAGAGGAAGGAAAAGAGAGAAAGAAAATGGGAGAGAAACATCAATCAGCTGCCTTTTGCATGCCCCCTACTGGGGATCAAGTCTTGACCAGGAACCAAACCAGTGACCTCTTAGGTTCACAGGATGATGCTCAGCCAAAGGAACTGTGAATGAATAGCAGAGAATAGTCCTCTCAACAAAAAGTCCCAGATGTGTGGGACTATGGCAGTTCCTTTTAACCAAAGATGCACTTATCTAGAAATTATATTCTTAGGCCAAAGAAATGAAACCTTATATTCACACAAAACATACACATGAATGGTAACAGCAGCTCTATACATAATAGCCAAACACTGGAAACAACCCAAATGTCCTTCAACTGGTAGATAAAGAAATTGGGTATCCATAATGTGTAATACTACTGAGCAATAAAAAGGAACAAATTTTTTATACACACAACTTTAATAGATCTTAAAGGAATTATCCCAAGCTCGAAAGTGTATGGTTCCATTTATATATTTTTAAATATTAAAATTATATGCTTCAAGTTAAGATGATGGTGTAAGTAAACACTGTATTTACCACCTTCCACAACCACATCAAAATTACAACTAAAACAATCATCATTCAGAACCACCTGAAATCTAGCTGAAAGGAAGTCCTACAGCTAGGGAACTGAAGAAGCAGTCTAACAAGACTGGTAGGAGGGGTGGAGATGTGGGGTGAATTGTGAACCGGTTGGTCCCACCCTCACATATGGTAGTTTAAAATCGGGAGAAATATCTTGGCTGTGGAGGTTTCCCTGAGGAGCGAGGGGTCCCAGTCCTACACCAGGCCCCTCAACCAAGGGTTCCAGTGCTGGGAAGAGAAGCCTCTGTAATTTTGGATTGTAAAAACCTGAAGGGATTGTGGCTGAGTGACATGGAGGCTGGTGGACTCAGGCAGCTCCCTTTAAAGAACCCATGCATGGACTCACTCCCTCTGAGCTCCAGCACTGGAGAAGCTGCTTGAAAGGAACCTGGGACATTCAGGAAGGAACTAACTTGTGTGGAATCAGGGCAAGACCTGAAGAGGCAACTTTCTCCCAGACAGAAGTGCTGGCAGAGGCCACTGCTCCTTTGCTGAGACCTCTCCACCACAGAGTGACAGGCCAGTGCCATATCTGAATCTCCATCAACCTAGATCACACTTTTTGCCCTGCTCTGGTGTGAAACCCCATCCCTCCCTACTTGCAGGCTCAACCAAGCCATTTGCAGTGCCTTTTCCATATAACTGGCTTCATACTTGACTTTCCTAAAATATCTCAAACAAGCAGCAGCAGGTTTCAGCATGCCCCATACCTCTCAGTAAGTAGCCCCAGGCCTGGCACTAGTGGCAGTACATCTTGGTTCACAGCTCAGCCCCTATGGGACACCTCCAAGCCCAATACAAGTAGAAGCCATCTGTAGATTGCTTTGTAGTTCATGCTGGGTAGCCCCAGGCGGGGCACAAGGAGTGACTAATTTTGCACCTCCCTGGAGGCTCCAGAACCAGTGCACCAGGTGGTCAGTTTTGACCACTGTGGATTACAACTCTACTACCTCCACAAATGACACCCTCAAGGGGCAGACTCAATGAGCACCAAAGCCCCACTGAAGCAAGTCCAGAGTTTCATAGGCTCCTGCATAGCAACTATTCTGCTGTAGTTGCAGCCAATTTTCACAACTGACTGGCTTGGGAAGCAATCCCTACCAGTGACACCTATATCAAACAATGTTCAACTACAATAGGACAGTGCACAGCTCACACAAGAGCATACCTGGAGGGTCCAGCTCAGGTGACTTGGGAGGCTGAGCCACTTGGCCTTACAAGACATCTACTACATACACAGGTCATTCTACCACGTCCTGGATACATAGCATATCTACCTAATTTATAAAAACAGACACAGGAAAGCAGCCAAAATGTGGAGACAAAGAAACATGCTACAAATGAAAGAACAGAGGAAATCTCCAGAAAAATAACTAAATAAAATAGAAGCAAGGAAACTACCAGATACAGAGTTCAAAACAATAGAGATGCTCAAGAAACTTTAGTGAGAAGTTCAAGGACCTTAGTGAGAACATTAACAACAAAAAAAAGAAAAGGACCAGTCAGAAATGAAAGATACACTACTAAAATAAAGAATAATTTACAGGGGTTCAACAGTAGAGTAGAGGACACTGAGAATTAAATCAAGAATCTGAAATATAAGAAAGCAAAAAACACCCAATCAGAAGACCAGAAAGAAAAAAGAATCCAAAAATATAAAGATAGTGTAAGGAGCCCCTTGGACAACTTCAAGAGTGCCAACGTATG